GATATTGAATAGTGTAATAACCTGCAGAACAATCATCAAACAGAATATTACCATTGGAATTGATTTGAGCATTATTCCATGAGCAGTGTTTTGCATTAAAATCACCAATAATGAAGAATTTAGACCTATGACGGGTTAGTGTCTGAAGGTAACCCTTGAGAAAATTATTTTGCTGGCCTACGCATTGGAATGGCAAATAGGCAGCTATAAACGTAAGTTGTCCAAATTCAAACAAGATTCATGAGTTTGTACTATGAGTACATGACGCTGGAGGTTGGTCCTTCTTCATTAATCTCCAATCGTGATTGCTTCCAAGCCTTCTATAGTTCCTCTGTAAATTTTGATCTGACCATGATGCAAGAAATCCATGGAATACCAGATCACCATCGGTCGATGGTTGTTCCCTCAATTTTTGCAATCAAGTACCACCATGTAAGTAACGATAAAAGATTTTTCACAGATGGGTCAACCATAAATGCTTCCACTGGATTTGGTGTATTTAATCAATTTCATAGCGCCTCCTATAAACTGCAGAAACCATGCTCCGTATACGTTGCGGAACTCGCAGCTATATTTTACGCAGTAGAGCGAATTGCCTCACTACCTTCTGACCATTATTTCATTTTTACGGATAGTCTTAGCTCATTGGAGGCTATTCGTTCAATGAGGCCGATGAAGCACTCCTCGTATTTCCTGCCTGAAATACGATCTAAACTGAGTGCTTTATCTAACTGCTCCTATACTATCACCTTAGCTTGGGTCCCATCTCATTGCTCAATTCCGGGTAATGAGAAAGCGGACTCATTGGCTAAGGTGGGCGCTATGGAAGGCGATATTTTTGAGCGACAAATCGCCTTCAACGAATTTTTCTCCATTGCTCGCCAGCAAGTCCTCATCAGTTGGCAACAAAAATGGAATGATGGTGAATTGGGAAGATGGTTACATTCTATTCTCTCACAGGTGTCGAACAAACCATGGTTCAAAGGGTTGGACATGAGCCGCGACTTTATACGCGTTATATCAAGGCTTATGTCCAATCACTGCTCGTTAGACTCGCACTTCTATCGAATTGGGCTCTCAGGCAGCAATTTATGTGCGTGTGGCAGTGGTTATCACGATATCGAGCATGTTGTTTGGTCGTGTACCTTACACCGTGTTGCCAGATCTGAGTTATCCACATCCCTCAGGGCCCGAGGAAAACAACCCGCGATACCCGTTAGAGATGTCTTGGCGAGCCGAGACCTTGACTATTTGAATTTAATTTATGTGTTTTTAAAACGGATAGATTTGAGGATTTAGAAGTTAGTGTCATCTTGTGTTCTCCCAAGTTGTTAGCTACCCATCGGTGTACCCCCATGTTTGTCTTTTTCATCAGAGTGTCGCCTAGTTCGAGATCAAGAGCACATTGCTCTCCAAACCTTGTGTTCACAATCCCTACCCTGCCATCCATTTGTTACAATTTGTTACCCCTAACCTCGAGATAGCCGCGAGTAATCGGCCCCCGCTTTACTAACGTTAGTTTTAAGTAATTTTGTTATCTAAACAATGAATATCGGCTCCGCAAAGCTACAGCAAATGAGCCTGGAAAAATAAACGAATTATTTAAAAAAAAAAAAAAAAAACTCCCAAAGTTTTAAAAACTTTGGCTTCAAATGCAGAAAGAATTTTATGTTTGATTCGTCTATGAACAATGATTCAGTTATAACGGCAATATGGACGTTATGAACTCTTTAAAAGTTAAATAGCTCGTCTTCATTATCTTTAAGAGATCGAGCATTCCAATTTAAAATATTTAATGCTTTAAAATCCATTGCTGTTGAACTTCAGCAATGGATTTTAAAGCATTAAATATTTTAAATTGACATGAAAATATTGTTCGCAAATTTTACTCCAGTTTATATAGCTTCAAACATGGAGTTAGATTTAAGCATATCAGTAATTATGTCAATTAATGATTTCTGTAAAAATTTCATTTTAGGGGCAGTAATGCTTCCTAAGTCAAAATTTCCGTTAGAATTACGTTGGTTAGTATTTTGATTTCTACCCGTTGCAATAGCAGCATAGGGAGCTCCATTAACTCGCTGAACATTGTAAGCAGCGAGGGGAGTAGGTATAGATGAAAAATTTTAAAGCAGCAATTTGTGCTGCTTCTCAGTAAGATACTTGAGAAGACATTTAAATCCGTCCAAGGTTTCAGCCCATACACGGCATTCACCTCGACGTCCAATTTTTAGTGAAAACTTAACTTTCACGAAGTTCAAAAGTTCCATGCGAAGAGCATGGAAATCGGAAGTGATGATCACAATAGGGGGAATCTTTTCCTTTTTGGCATTAAGCCGGGAAAGTTTACTAGAATTTGGATCATTCTCATCATCCGTGAGCAAATAAAATTGATTGCTCAAATTAACTTCATCAGAAGGGGGATCAAGAGTTTGCCCTTTTCTTTTGTGCTTAGGCGCCATGGCGGCACTAAATTTTTATCCAAATCGACTTCCAAGCAGATTACTATAAGAATCTGAAGGATCGAAGAGGAATTTTCCATATTGATATCCAAGAAGGATTACCTCGGGTAGGGTGCACGAGCACGATGCGGACTGATTGTTAAGGGCCTGATGTAACATTATAAACAGCTGCCATTTTAACTGATACGGAAACCGATCCGACAAAGTTCGTGCCTCTAACCTCTAAAATCGAATTATCACAAACTAATCAGCGTAATAATTCGAATGTAGCTGTTATCACACTGTTTAGAACAATAGGTTCAGAAACAATCATAAACTTGTGTCAACAGCCGAAATCGTATAACACGATCGAAGATCACCAGTAAAACTATGTGGGTTACCGTGCCCCTTACTTCACAAAGTAAACTACGACTGATCCCCGATCCGGCACAACCGGCATCCCGTCCACGCATACCAACATCACTACCAGATAAGGGAAATTTTCCCCTACACACTGAATCACCGCTTCCCTGTTCGGTAATTTTTTTACAGTTTTACACAAAAATACCGAACATTAAGCTACTTTCAATAAAACTACTGATGTTCAGTAGCTTTTGCGACAAACTACTGAATACTGTAATGGCAAGCACTCAATTTTCCGTAAACAAACAGCTTTACGGTGAATGACTAAAACTCAGTAAAATGGAGTACCGGGTTTACAGTATCCATTATCTTTTACTGAACAGACATCGAACGAAATTCCATACTTGCCTCGAGCTTATTTGGAAATCTCTGAGTGAAATCTTTATGAAAATAAGTGAAACATCTGGAAGCCAACGCAAAAGTGCAGAAACTGACACGGAATTGGACAGTTTATGCACGCCTGCATCGACTTCCAGTTGTTTCACTGATTTTGAAGCTGAACAATTCACTAACATTGTCTGTTGTTGAGCTCCAGACATGGACACGCCATCCGGCACACGAAGAGAGCCACCAACCGGCTGAACCACCAGGAAGCGCTAAACATGTTGATCTCAGTCCCCAAAGAAAAATCGTAAAAAGTTACATTTTAATCCTACCCATCGTATGAAACCCAAAAAAAAAAAAAAAATCATTACTACCAGTAAATAAACTTTTTTGATAAATTTACTGACTTATTCATCAAAATACTGAAATAAAAATACTGGAAAAACTCAGCAAATACAAATTTAAATGTAAATGTTATGATATGTTTTATTAATTATTGCCAAGAAAATATTCATAAATATAGCCTTATAACATATTATAATAGACTGGCCCGCATTTATATGGGGAATTTTTTTTTATTATTTTTTTTCAGATAGATTTGTGCCATTAGGTGAGAAAACCACTATCTGAAAATCTCAGCTCATTTGGATGTAACACGAGCTGGCGCTTTTGATTTAAAATTTATATGGGAATATTGGTTGAAATGTATAGAGAAATAACATTCCTTCACTCTTTCTTGCATAGAACTGGTTCAGCATACTCGATTAAGTACAGAAGTTCAGCACACGTAGCTTAAACTATAAGGAACAACTTTGCTCAAGACAGCGTCACGATTCAAATTAGTTTTATGGATATATTAATTAATTATGTGCATTCTGCTCGTATATTGCAACAAAATACAGGCAGCTTATGCAACGTATCAACTAGATTACCACTTAAAATAAAAGTTCATATTTTCCACAGGCCAACATACAGACTCGTGTCTTTAGGTGCGATGACCACTCTCTGAATGTTTTAGCTCTTTTTGACGTTACACGGGTTGGCGCTTTTGGTTTAATGTTTATATAGGAGATTTGGTTAAAATTATCATATACAAAATGGTCATGTATATTCAAAAGCGAATATCTAAATAAAACTATCTGGATTCATGATGGAATCTTCAGCAAAGTTGTTACTCATTATTTGAACTACAAGTTTTGAAAATCTGAATCAAATCTGAATCAAACTTTTTCCCATTTCCCTTACAAATTTCAAACTAAAAGCGCCAGCTCATCTTAGAATCAAATGAGCTGAAACTTTTGGAGAATAGTTTTCTCACCTAATGGCACAAATCTAGGGGTTGGTCCGTGGAAAATTAGAACTTTTATTATTATTTTTGGTTGAATACTTAAAACTTAGCAAACATTTCCATCCTGTAAAAAAAAAATAATTAGTGCACGGCATGAGAACATAGGATCCGCTTTCAAAAATTTTGCATGATAAGCAGGCAATAAGCAAATGACACTATAAATTTACCTTCCGTTCGAAAATGTTTGGTAACCTTGCCTGAAAATAATGCTTTCTTCGAGAAAACAAAAGGGAAAGCAATCAAATGTGTTCAGTTTCCCCTGCGGTGCTGGATTCAGGTTGAATGGTCATTTAAATTATCTTTTGTTAGTCTGATAAAAGAAGTGATTTTAAAAATTCCGAATAAATTTGTCCAGCCAACGAAGCTTTTCAACAAGTGATTTAAAAATTTGCTCCCTCATCCTCGTCGTAGTTCATTCACCCTGTTCGTGACTGATACTTTTCCATCATTCGATTTTCCCGCAGTGGAGAAGCCTCCGACGATTTTGATCCGTCACCAAAATGGACCAATTGCGCAAAGTAACGATGGAAAATTGATAGTCTACCCCGGCACGACGGTTCATCTGGAGTGCCTATGGATGAGACGGTTTGGCAATCCGAAATGGAATGTCAGTCATGACTATAGGAAATATCCCGAAGGTTGGAGCTCGGACGAGGGACGAGACCCGCAGCTAGAATACCGAATCAGTATCATGCATGCGGTGAAGGATGATTCTGGAATTTTCACATGTGTAACCCCGGCCCGTCACACGCACGCCGTAGAAGTGATTGTTAAGGTGGGCATGACTGTGTTTTTTTTTCATTCCCTTCGGCTGTGAAATTTCTTTCGTTTCTGTTATCGACAGCCCGTTCAATGCAACGAAATTCAAGTCAGACGAGGACTATCTGCCAGCAATTTGGAGACGATGATGGGAATCAGAGTGCTATTTTCATGTACCAACGGAAACGCACTGATCGGTACACCGGAAATTACTTGTCTGCCAAGTGGCAATTGGAGTGCCCCACTTCCCGTGTGCGAAAGTGTTGAATGTGGAGAAGTTCCAATTCAGGCAAACAGTAACGGCTCTGCTCCTCGGGTTGCCATACTATCGCGCGAGGTTGGAGGACGATCAGCGTTCTCCTGTCCACTCGGGTACGGTTTGCGGGGACCGAGTGAAGCCATCTGTTTGCCATCCGGTGAATGGGGTGGCCCATTCCCGACGTGCGTTGGTAGGTTTTCGGTTCGAAATGAGTTTTTCAAATCTGCTTTAAATCGAATGTTTATTTTCTCCAGAGGTTCAGTGCTTCCATCCGGGTGCACCGCAGAATGGATACGCTCAGGGAACGCCTCCCTATAGGGCTGGTGATGTCGTACAGTTCAACTGCAACCCGGAGTACATGATGCAAGGTCAGCCCATCATTGCCTGCCAGGATAATGGGCGATGGTCAGGAGGACTGCCAAAGTGTGAGTATTGATTGATGCCAGGATTGCAATTGTGTATTTGAGGCTGCGATTGTTTGTTAACAGGTGTCCAGGCATGCTCCTACCCCGGGACGGCAATCAGCGGTCGAATGTCGTCGGTCAAGTTCTACTATTCAATCGGCGAAAGCATCACATTCACGTGCGATAACGGACTGGAGCTGCGAGGGGCCAAGATGCTCAAGTGTTTGAAAAATGGCAAGTGGTCCAATGCCATTCCCACCTGTGTCAATCCGGATGCGGTGAACGTGCGTAGTGATGCCAAAGGCATCTTCAAACGGGAAAATTAAACTGTCGTCGTTCCAACGACCATGGAGTGGTTTCTATTCCCCTGAATGCTACCCTGGGGAAACATACATATATCAATGAAAAACGTCTATATTTAGAAGATAACCGTAGACGTTCCACGTAGGCTGGATCAATCAAGTTTTAATGAAGACATCAAATATACACGTTGACTGTTTTAAGTTTACTACAGAGGCACGGAGGATATTGTTTGATTGCCACTCCCGTCTGTTTGTGTGACAAAACCAGAGGTATAAAATTTAATTCGCTCCAAGCATATTATATCGTTCGTTTGCTTGTTGGCACTTTTTCTCTGTGAAAACAATTATGAATGGGCGGAGAAATCAATTACTGCGATGGTAAACCTACGATAACGGCCGTCACATTAATGACAACAAACAAGGATGATAAAGACAATGACAATGTTGTAAATGTAAATTGGTTTTGTTTGTAGGCTATATAGAAATAGGACGCACTTGGCTCTTGCTGTTGCCGTTTTTCCTCCCCATGGAAATCCCTGAATATCCCATCCCACCCAACCTAGCCGGTAAGCCAGATTATTTATCGTAGTACGATGCATATCTTTATAGTTATATTTTTCATAAATTACCATGCATATAAATTGGATGGCTCTGCAAATTTGAATATTAATATTAATAGAAAGGGTGAAACGAAAATCAAAAAAGGTGAGAAGAAGGGAGCTGCGTTTACGGACTCGTGTTTATTTTGGTGCCATTTTTCAACGTAGACTAATTACAATTTCACGCTGTTACTGTAAATAGAGGATTGAGTGTAATTTATTTATTTATATACCATTAATCTACTATCGCTGTCAGAACTGAGCCACATCTGAAATAATAAATCTCTGATTAAATGCTCACTGGATATCAGTTCGGTTCTCCGTTGCGAGCATGAATATTGTGTAGCTGTTATATTGACAAAGTGCATACATCCACACTCACACACAACAATAGATGATATCTCTAATAAATCAGAATTGATTGAAAGATAAAATTGCGTTTGATTTTAGGTTGCATGGAGAATGGTTCCAACGACTTATTTTTTTTTAACAATATGTGTTATTTGTAAGGCTGAACTAAACTGCAAAGGGAATGGCATGTAGGGGAAGACGGGCATCCTAATTTTTAAGTGCAATTAGATGAAACCTGTACAAATTTGCAGCAATAAATTAAATCAAAATTGGTCATTTCATCTCAAGAGGTCGAACCAATTGCGTTGATCCTCTTCGGTTTGAGCCAAAATTGGTGGGACTACGAATTTTAGGGCAAAGTTTTAAAATCAAAAGTTTTGTTCCAACAGTACCCCCTCACCGCCCTACACTGATTGGCAAAACAAGGTGCTCACCTCATCATTTTTTTCCAATTTATCTCATTTATTTGGTTCAAATTAATGTAAACACTCTGTAGTCTTTATTCATATGTTATTTCTTAAATTCTTTTAAAGTTCTACTAAAGAATACTAAAGAATACTAAAGAAAAGTCTCACTTAAAGAAAAAATATTCAATTATAATTGAAAAAAAAAAACAGGGACAAAAAAGTGCCGACTATGGTAATGCTGAAGAAATAAATGCAGGAGAAGGTAAAATGTATCACAAAATTGATCGTACAGCTGTCCTTAAGTTTAAGAAAAAAAAAAACAGTTTTAAAAGCACAGTTTAAAGAGATACGTTTCTGAATTTCTGGCGGCTGAATAATAAATTTATCAATTATTGGTACGATACACCCGGTACCGTTCAGTAATTAATTTTCTTCGGCTAAAATCATCCCACGGGGTGTTAGTTGTAATGAATTAAATACTAAACATTAGAATTCCAAAATCTCCACGATTGAAAAGAAAGCACTTTTTCCTGCATTTTTATACTTCCACACAACATTTTCATCAGGGATCTTGAACATAAAAACATGTAATCGAGATTTTTCATACAATAGGATTGAACGAAAAGTGGTCCATAGCAAAAATCGCGAAAATCGATTTCCATTCTGTGCACTGGGATAGTGGCTCCCTCACTGGGAAATTGACCTTAGTCACACGGTAGTGTAACAACGATAACATGCCCGTTACCTCAATTTGATTGATGATTAGGCGTTTGTTTTCCAAATTTTTAAAGCCGTTGGTAAATGTGTTATGTTTGGCTAGAGGATGGAGGGGGTAATATAAATCTGCATTTTTACGCGTTACGTAATTTGTGAACATACCCTTATACATTTGTGGTGAAAAAAAAATCAAGTGATTCATGGTTAATTTTAGCCTATCCTAATAAACATATTTTCAACCATGCAGAATAAACAATAGAATATATTCGGTAAGCTCCTTACATGGAGGTTTCCCGTTTTGATACGGTTCTTCCATTAGTTTTACACAATTCAAATCTCTTGACCTAGATTTACGCTTGGATTTCCTAATTTAATTGAGCTGTTTTGTTCATTCCATCGTATTCTGATGAATTTGAGTCCCATGGCTATTCATTATGCAAATGATTCTCTTCGTTTGGTTGCATTCCAAACAAACTGCCAGTGGAGCGATCATCGGTGTGTAAAAATAATTGCTGCACATTTGGATACAGTGTAGAAAAAGAAATACAGGAGGTGACACAGAAAATCAGCGAACCCTTATCAGCGAGTGCATGTAGATGGAGAGGCTCCTCTGTGTAGATAAAATACAGCTTACACCAGTGCTGAAATCTGTAATTGTCCTTAAAAGATCTCACGTGAAATCGACAGACATATTTCAGTGGGTCAGTGGATGAATTGACAAACAAGTTAACTCACGTATCTTTGTCTTTTTTTGTCAATAACATAGATTAACCTCACAACAAAACATAAGGAATTTTACATGACATGTAAACCAAAACCATTTTAAAATTACATCGCTTTAAACTATGTTTTAATTTAATTTTGCCCATCATAAGAACATGATAAAACTCACAAAATATCATGTTTATTCGATTAATTTTCTCTTGCAGTGTAATATCACCACGCGATGTAAAAAATTATCGAAGAACATCGGATTTTCAGCGAAAAAAACCTATAAATTTACATGCTCCTGTAAATTTAAATCAACAAACATTGAGCAATGGCCGATCAAGAGTCATTGACGTTTTTCTAATAAAAATATGCCTTTTTCAAATGTTAATATCTCTGGTTGGGGCTGGTTAGTGCTAAAACACAATTTTTCCAGGAACACCCTAAGTCAACTCCGAAAAATTACTCTAAAACGAGAACGTTAAGAGATAGAAAAATATTATTCTCATCAAAATTGCTTTAAATTACGTCAGCTAGAACTTATTTGAACAACACATGTCTTTATTATGTAAAACAAAAAAGTTAGTTAATAAAAAATCCTCTTATCCACCCTGACGTTTTTTTAAAATTATGGTCACTTTCACATTCTTGGGTCATTCGTGACTTGTCCAGGAGTGAGATTTGAACTCTTGACTTTGGCGTGAAAGGTATGGATATTAACCACTATGCCAGAGTCGAACCCCACCGACCACTCTGACGTTTGCAAACAACAAAAGAAGGGAATTTTAAAGCACAAAAACTTCTTCGAAGACACTGGACATTAAATATTGGAGCAAAGGTGCACATTTTATTTAAATTTGTCATTAGAGTAGTCCTATGAAAACTATCTTTTGTCAATAACTTTTTTAATTAAAAATTTCTCATGATAGCAATTTTCTACAGACTTTTAAAGCTCTGTAGCGTTTTATAAGAAAAGTTGTTGTCTGTATCTCTTCTAATAAAATATATAGGTATCCAATTATATTAAGAAAAATATGTCTTGAGTCGAATTGATTTTACACGAGTTTAAAGTATAACAAACCTCTATTTTTCATATTATTGAGAATAATATACGCCCTTCTAAATGCCGTAATTTTTTTTTTCTTTTTGCCCCAACCAGAGATATTAACATTTGAAAAGGGCATATTTTACACAGCTGGGTAGCGTAGCCTGGGCAATGTTGCCAGTCCGGCAATAGCAAAGTGAAGAGGTGCGACGCGAACACTGGCGCGGTAATTATAGTACGGTGATAGAGGAAATGCTTCACCAAACCTGAGCGTCTGTTCACCATGGAGGTGCGGCTCAAAACGGCGTCTGTTCTCCATGCTAGGAGCGGCTGATCACCGTCCTAGTGCCAGCGTGGGACTCTAAACAGAGCTGTGCACGATGGTCCCCCGGCGAGACAAGGGGTTGGGGCAGGCCCAACAAGGCGCCCTGAAAAAAAAACAAAGTTGTAAATACCGAAGAAAGAAATACGGATCGGAACAATCGGCACAGACCTACGCGACGAAATAAGGACTACGATTGGAAACTCGGAACATGGAACTGCAAATCGCTCGGCTTCCCGGGTTGCGATAGGTTAATCTATGACGAACTTCAGCAACGCAACTTCGAAGTCGTAGCACTGCAGGAACTTTGCTGGACGGGATAAAAGGTATGGAAAAGCGGGCATCGAGCGGCTGCTTTCTACCAGAGCTGTGGCACCACCAACGAGCTGGGAACCGGCTTTGTAGTGCTGGGTAAGATGCGCCAACGCGTGATTGGTTGGCAGCCGATCAACGCGAGGATGTGCAAGTTGAGGATTAAGGGCCGTTTCTGCAACTGCAGCATCATCAACGTGCACTGCCCACACGAAGGGAGACCCGACGACGAGAAAGAAGCGTTCTATGCGCAGCTGGAGCAGGCGTACGACGGCTGTTCGCAACGGGACGTCAAAATCGTCATCGGCGACATGAACGCTCAGGTAGACGGGAGGCAATGTATAGACCGGCAATCGGGCCAAACAGCCTGCATGCCGTATCGAACGACAACGGCCAACGATGCGTGAACTTTGCAGCCTCCCGGGGTATGGTAGTTCGAAGTACCTTTTTCCCCCGCAAGGATATCCACAAAGCCACCTGGAGATCACCTGACCAACACACAGAAAACCAAATCGATCACGTTCTAATCGACGGGAAATTCTTCTCCGACATTATCAACGTCCGCACGTACCGCAGTGCAGCATAGATTCGGACCACTACCTAGTTGCAGTATGCATGCGCTCAAAACTCTCGACGGTGCATAACACACGTCGAAGTCGAACGAGAAGCTAAATAGTTCGCGCAAAGGCTACGTGCCGTAAGCCGATATGTGCAAGGACTTGGACGGTAACCTTCTCAAGAACGAGTGTGAGGTGATTGAGTGGTGGAAGCAGTACTATGACGAGCACCTCAACGGTGAAGCAGCAGAAAACGAAGGTGGCACGGCAACAGACCTTGGAGCACGCGCAGAAGACGACAGGTTACCGGCCCCTGATCTTCAAGAAGTTGAGGAGGAGATCGGTCGGCTGAAGAACAACAAAGCAACTGGTGTAGATCAACTACCAAGTGAGCTATTAAAATACGGTGGTGAAGCACTGGCTAGAGCGCTGCACTGGGTAATTGCCAAGATTTGGGAGGAGGAGATATTACCGGAGGAGTGGATGGAAGGTGTCGTATGCCCAATCTACAAAAAGGGCGACACGTTGGATTGCTGCAACACTGCTGAGCGCCGCCTACAAGGTACTCTCCCAAATTCTATGCCGCCGCCTGTCACCATTTGCAAGAGAGTTCGTGGGGCAATACCAGGCGGGATTCATGGGTGCCTGCGCTACCACGGACCAAATTTTCGCGATTCGGCAGGTTCTGCAGAAATGCCGCGAATACAACGTGCCCACACATCATTTGTTCATCGATTTCAAATCCGCATACGACACAATCGATCGAGATCAGCTATGGCAGATTATGCACGAGTACGGATTTCCGGATAAACTGACGCGATTGGTCAAGGCGACGATGGATCGAGTGATGTGCGTTGTTCGAGTATCATGAACACTCTCGAGTCCCTTTGAATCTCGAAGGGGATTACGGCAGGGTGATGGACTTTCGTGTCTGCTGTTCAACATCGCGTTAGAAGGTGTGATCAGAAGAGCTGGGATAGACACGAGTGGCACGATATTCTGGAAGTCCATCCAG